TTAGAGATAATAATATTCGTATTGTCAAATTACTGCATCTTTTTTTTTATCTCAATCTTAATAATGAAATGTTTTATTATTCTTACCTACTAATAAAATATTAATCTACTCTTTCACAATATCTAACACAGAAAATCGATTTCATGTGCATAGACATAAAGCTAATGAACTTAAACGATTTTTCCGATTTCATAAAGTTCATTTTTCAGATTTTTTATTATATCTCTGAAGGGAAATAAAGTAAGAAAAAATTCTAATAAATTTTTCGTCATTCAATTGTACATATATTGCTATTGATTAGAGCAATTGTGAAAAAAGATATTCCGTATGATGCCTCTTAGACTATAGCCTAACAAAGTACACAGAAGATAGGATAAATTCAATTTTATTAAGATTGCTTTTTGAATAACTTAGAAGTAGGTATGTTTAAAATGAGGTATTATTTATATATACCCTTATTATTAACATAAGGGTTTGTGGAGATTTTTGAGTCTCTTCGTTTACATTACAGATTAATCTTAGTTGGACAACCGATCAAAACCAGTAAGAAGTGGGCAGATATTTAGTCGTGACATTTAACAGTGATCATCCACGACTTCACCAGGGATTGAAATCAGGACCTTCGGTCTCGCTGCACGCACTTAACTCTTAGTCTCCCGATTAGGCATTTAACGATTTACATGTCTAATAATAGGGAGAAACATCTATTCAGTCCTCCTTGATTTTCAGTGTTAGTTTAAATAAAGTCAGTCCGTGATGTAAGCTCGAAAATGCCTCATTATGTTAATTTTTACATCAAGATTTTTAGTACTTAACCAATACGACTGATTAATAGAGTCATATCAATTATCACAAATGATTAGTTTTTCATCTGAATTCATTGTGCCAATAATCTAGGTGGTTTACATCTAAAAGATTTCATGGAATCAATGAAATCAATTCCTCATTTATCATAATCGAGTTCAAAGTGAAATAACAGCCTGTGAAATGTACATGAAATTTTTTTCAGACGACGAAATTCAATATGTTAATTTCTAAACTGTCACTATAACATCATAAAATACCATTTAAAGCGTTTATAAACCTAGATCATGTGAATTTAGGTTCTGACCATATTTATATCTTGTAACTTGATAACAACGAAGTTTCAGTGTCTATTTAACTATTACATACTTGTAAATTGAAACTTGTTTTAAATGTTCTAAAATGTAAATGTTGAGAAATATACCAGATGTATGATGTGAAAGCTACGCTATAAATGCAATTAAGTTTTATATACGATAAACATTAATTTTAGGTATACAGATTCCAATCAATATGTAGATTGTGCATTCTCAGAAAGGGAAAGAATTACTAATTCAAATATCAAAATGTTGAAAAAATGTAAATCTCACAGATATGACAAAATAATTGAACAGGCAAACTAATAATATATTGATATGTGATCATGCATTTTAAGCATGTATGGGCCTCATAGCTTCAATCCAGGTTGTTTTACCTACTACCTTATTTTATTTAATGGATACAAGATAAACTATGTGAAAATATAGAATTAAACCATCAACCACAGTTTCTAATACTTGTGTGGTTGGCCTAAAGGATCGAGCTTTTCTGTCCAGCCTGTTAAGAAGCCAAGATGAACTCTAGTTCTCCTGAAAAATAATATAAAATCACCCTTATTGTAGGATATATATATATACTTGTGAATAAACTAATCGATCCTGGCAACAGTCATATGCTTGCCTCAGAAGTTAAACCACGTATATAGAAGTAAATACATTATATTTGTTAACGAAGATCAACTTGTAACTTTTGTTCTTTTTAAATTTCAAAAACTTTACTGTAGTTCTTTTTGACTGATTGAAATTCTTTGTGTTTAACAAAATTAAACAGGTGCATTTATTATAAAAAAAATTCTGTGATATATATAAAACTATATCACAACTATGGATGTAAATAGTAAATGAGAGGATAACAATAAAATCACAATAACAGCATGTTCATGTCAAAATGATTGGGGTTTGTAATAAAAGTAAATTACAGAGCCAAAACGATAAAATCTAACATATCAAATCTTAGATCGTTAATTGATATTCAAAACTGATTGACGAATAACTTGGAAATTATCATAAGCTGTGTACAAAATCAGTAGATAGTACCTTGATGATAAAAATTTATAGTCATAACAAGAACAAGTAACAGAAACTAACTTGGCTAACGGTTAAAATGACAAAATATTCGTTAGTAATATTGCAGAGAAAAATAGATTTAAAGTTCACATGGTATATTAAAGGTGTTTATGAAACTTTAGAGGTAACTTGAAAGTGTTCGAGATTTAAATGACAGCAACTATATGTATAAGTACTAGCTAATGTAAATTCAAATAAATCTGTTGCTCTAACCCAAACTTCTGGACTTAATCATTTTCTATCGGGAATAATTGTTATATCAAACACAATTGGTGGAGGGTTGAGCTGTTAGAGCTATCCTACGGGAAATTAACGCCTATATTTTATTAAATAATTATTAGATTTAAAGCAATTAGTCCCTTTGATAAATTTCGATAATGCAATGAGAAGACGAAGATTATCAGAACTATGTGATATATTAGCGCAATACATTTCGAACAATCTGATCACACATATACTTGTTAAGAACATTTATATATAAAAATAAAAGGTCAACTAGACTGGTAATAAGGTTAAGAAATAGACAAGGATATAATGATAAAATAATGTGAAAACAACTTGACACCTAATCACTCTGGATAATAAGCATTTATTACCAGGGTAGGTTTAAAGAGAGAACAAACTGTTTTTGAATACACAAAGGGGGGTTGAATTTTCGTATGGCTAAGGCTTCAACAAACCTTAGTATACGCCCTTTTACACTTTTAAACAACACCACAAAAGCCGAGTTTAGATCAATCTTATGACCTGTTTCGATTATATGTTTAGCAATAGAGGATGATGGATGTTTATCCTCTACTCTTATTGGGTCATTCGACTGTATTTGTTTTTGCAACCATTTTGGTACATGTTCACCCACCCTAATTTTCAGATCACGATTGCTCCTCCCTATGTATGTGTGACCACACACACATTTAAATTGGTAAACACAGTGGGATGTGACACAATCGTTTTCATTTCGTCTAGGTTTTGAATGAAGCATGGACCTCGTTCTTTCCTTGATTATGACTTTCGCAGCACAATACGTTTTGTTGATAACAGATTTAAGCCTTTGTTTCAATAAAAGGCTATTTGAATCACCTCTAAATGGTAAGGTGATGTAGACAGGCTTTTTCTCTACCAAGGCTACAGTAGGTCTCGCTGTGCTCTGAACTTTCCATCTATTGATAAATTTAGGTGGATAGCCATTCCCAATTAGATTCTTAAATTGTATATTAATAATTTCCTGTTTCTAGGCTTCCTTTAAACTATAAATAACTACTTGATCAAACAGGCCGTGATAAAAAGCAAGCACTCGTTTATTTTACGTTTATATCAATAATTCAACTTGTAAAGTCATTAATCACGTTCATAATATTTATTAGCTCTAATTTTATCATAAATTGTTCCATAACTGAACTTTGGTTTCTGATCAGCTGATAGGTCGCTCAAGGTCACCTATATAGCCTACTTCTACTAATTTATTTAGTAACAGATGTTTGTCAGGTTTTATAGTTGGATTCATGAGTCAATTCAAGCCGCACCACCATGGAAAACGTGAGATCAGTGGACGGCCGTTTCGTCCTATTGTGGGATTCCTCAGCAGTGCGCATCTACAATCCTGACTTGTGAGACTTGAACCCAGGACCTATCAGTCTCGTGCGCGAGCGCTTAGCCTCTAGACCACTGAGTCGGCATCAAACGCTAGACGGTGGCTTGATTTTGCACTCGCGCGCGAGACTGATAGGTCCTGGATTTGAATCTCAAGAGGCGGGATCGTGGATGCGCACTGCTGATGAATCCAACAATAGGACGAAACGCTCGTTCAGTGATCTCACGTTTTCCATGGTGGTGCAGCTTGAATTGACTCATGAATTCAACTATAAAATTATTAAAATCTCCACAAAACCCCTTCTGATATTTGTCAGATGACAAAGCTCAAAAAAATACTTCAGAATATTCTGAATATGGTATAGCAAATAAGTAATGAATGTAGTAAAACGAACATCAATTTTCAAGATATTTTAGCATGATAAAAAATGTAATAGTAGTTGTTTTACTATGTCATTTATATTCCTAAACTACTATTAAGGGAATGAAACAAATGATAAAGATTTTGTTCTTATTCTTCGTTATACTATACTCGACCACATTAGAACAATCAACGAAATATATCATAAGAAACTAGCCAAACTATTTTTAAATTCAGTCGCTTGTTGAAATTTTTTACTATTACACGATGACTTTATTCACTGAATCATAAAAATACCTAATGTAACTCAATCCAATTTGGCTTTCATTATTATACTTCACAGCAAACATCATTTCGAATAGACTGTTGATTTGGTTAACTATTTTATCGCCAATACAGAAACTAGCCTACAGGACATTATTTACCAGTGATCAGTAAACATTTGTTGATAATATATTTTGATCCAGTCAAAAAATAAAATTTCAACGTAATTTTTTACTATGATTGATCGTATATATTCATGGAATCCTGAAATTATAAGGAGGACTACTTTTTTATCACTTTGTATGTTGATCTATGTAATTCTACATATGAAATAAGATTTTCAGCCCAAATGTGATCTGGCAGTATAATTTAGGATTTAATCATAATTATGAATGTGAAGAAAACCATGCAGTGATGATACTGTATTTAAATTACTCAAGCTTTAACTCGTGCTGATTTAAATCTCATTATATTTATAACATTTCGAACTGTAAATTAATATTAACACGTCACCCAATGAATGCCTAGTTCAAAGCCGGTCACACAAAACTGTACTTAGTTACAGATTCACATAATGAACTAAGGACTTTTAAAGTAGTTGTTTATTTAACTGTTATTTAAATCTTCCAGTGTCACATATCTCTTTCTTTACTGATACACTCGGGAATCAATCTTTGTCAATGAATAAGTATGAAAGGAGAAATTATATTTTGAAGATAAGAAAATCATTTGTTTCCATCCTTATTTAATAGATTTATATTTTAATTGGTGCAAAGTAGAAATCATTTGTTGTTTAGAGTTCACATAAAAACAAATTGTTCATAGGGTATTGTTTTATAAGAGAATCAAATATTAGATAGAAAAATTCATACAAATGTGCAAGAATATTAGTAACAGTAATTAAAATAATCAAAAAAAATGTAAAATAAACTCTATTACTTCTGTGAATTGATAAGATGCTTCTATGTTATGAATAGTTGCTTTAAGAAAATGGTTATCTAGAAATGAAAATAAATAAATAAATATGAATTAATAACCTGACAACTATATATCTAAAGAACATTTGACAAAATAGTTCGGTACAATAGATTCGTCCTCAAACACTGTAGTTACAAATTCATAATTTATGATGATAAAATGGACCATATAAGATATATGTATATAATCTATGATTGCGTTAGTCAACTACATATATTAGAAATACCAGATATTACGTCAACTGCATTTTGAACACATTAAACACACCATTAACGGAGTTGAAAGATCAGATAAAAATTGAAAAAAAAACAATGTGTGATCCAAAGCGGTATGTTGTGGTTAAAACACGTGAATCCAAATCACTAAAAGATTCTTATAGAGTAAATTAGAACACATACAAACAAAAATTATTATGTTTAATTAGATCTACTTAATATTAGAACAAAGCCTAACTGATCAAAAGACTGTACCACAGTAATTGTGACAATCGTAATGACAAAACCCTATAGATTACAATAACTGGATGTAAAGTTAGCATTCATACTATATATATATATATATATATATATATATATATATACTTTAGATATATTAGTTCAGTTTCTGAAATACACTAATTAATAGAGAAGAACAGTGATGAAGTCGAATTGTTTATTTTTAAAAGAAACATTCGTATTTATTTCTATACATTTAATTTATCAAGCTGGGTTTAATTATACGAATAAACCTATTTTTAAATTAGGTAAAAACCAAATAGGTTGATTAGAATAATCCATAAGTTGTGTTGATTAGCAAATCTTAATTTTTTATATATAATTGAAATCATGAGTCAATTGAAGCTAGACCACCATGGAAAACCTTGAAGCACTGGACGGCCGTTTCGTCCCATTGTGGGACTCCTCTTAATTTTCTTAATTCAGTTTACATAGGTAAAAATCATCTTGAAGAATAAGAACTTAAAATTAAAACATGGAGTTCAGAGAAGGGATCTCTTTTCAACGAATTTATTATCAAGCTGTACAGTCGTATATATATGAAAATGTTTTATTAAAGTACTAATTCTGTGAGGAAATGTGAACCCTAATAACCAAGATTATAATAAGATGATTAGAATGAATAAAATGTTTTGGATACAATGATTAAAGGTCATAGAGGTGTAAAATAAATAAGATGATCTTCTAACTGGTTCATATATATACGACTGTACAGCTTGATAATAAATTCGTTGAAAAGAGACCCCTTCGCTGAACTCCGTGTTTTAATTTTAATGTTTAAATGGGAGTTATATACCAAATAAGAATTTAGATTTAATATTCCGTTCAAAGTGCAATATTTTTCACTCTGACATGAAACTGACTGAATTACTATGTATAAATATATTCTTCAACGTGAAAACAAACGGTTATTAGTAGATGGTCAGAAAAAAATCATAAGTACAACAAATTACTTCTTTCTTTTTCTCTCTCTACTGTGCCAGTATCCATAACCAAAGTAGATTCCGAAACCTAGTTATAAAAGTAAAGAAGAATATACTTCTGTAATTAACTCTAGAAAACTGGTGAAATATTTATGCTAAAAGGTGAAGATGTACGTCTTGTGTAATGTGATAGTTTAAATCAGAATATGTTATTTGATGACTTAAGCATTTTAACAGTAAAAATTCATGCTAAAAATATTGGTAATTCATCGACAGAATGTACTATGGAATCACGAAGATTATTAAACTATCGAAATTTATAAAAGGGACTAATTGCTTTAAATTCTATATTTATACTACATCTTATTTATTGAGTTTTCGGTTCCGTTGAACTTTATTCATTCAATAGTTAACATTATGATCAAAGAAGTTATGTGATCTAAACAGTTTTCTGCGACAAAATTATTAGGATATCTCAAATATAAAAAAACTTAACAGACATTACTATATTGCATCCGTAAACTCATGTAAGCTAGTGTGTCACTAAAACTAAAATTTGATTTCGATGAAACATTGATTTAAGTTTGATAATAATCAGCTTTATTTCAGTACTAATAAATGTGGAACCTGGTACGAAGTATATAATTTCATCTTACATCGATACAAACAGATGCAGGGAATTAACAAGATAAAAAGTAAAGGAAGATAAATAACACTATTCACCGCGATGGAAAACTAAATATAAAAAAGATAATGTAAAGGCAAATTATATTAAACATGAAGAAAGCAATGACGGTAAAAGAAATTTAGAAGATAATTAGTGAATGTATCTGTGGCACTGAAAATAATTTTAAATAAAACACCATAAATTACGATGATATGGCATGAAAGGAAATCAACATCTCTCAAATAGTTCAAGCTAACTTTTTAGTTTGTATAGTACTAAGCAAGTGTACAACCTACTTGGTTTAAATTCGTTCCAGATAACCGTTAGATCATTATAAGAACAAACATTATAAAATCTATTTTGACCTATTTGATTCTATCGTGGTTATCGCAAAATGATTTTGAGCCTTTCCTACGATAATACGTTATTGCAAACAGTCCTACAACCAGCTACTAAACTTTAGTTGATAACCTAGTGCTGAACTATAATTATTAAAGACCTCAAGGTCTGTTAATTATGTACTTAGTTAGCAGTGTCCTTTATAAATTAACTGAGTTGGAAACCGGATACCAATCTTTCGTTAGTATTTACGATCTCAAAGTAATACTTATTGTGGGATTTGAACCTGATTCGTTTTACGTCAAGATTTTTAAAACGCTTCAACAAAAATGATAGACTGATTAATTCCAACTAACTGAATAGAAGACTAGTGATTACTACATTCTACTTGAAGCAATAAATGACATGTCATAATTCTCATTTATTTCAGTGGCCAAATGTTAACTCTTACTGTCAATTTGAGTGATTTCACACTTTACAGATCATAGTTAAAATCTTGAGTTTTTTCTTGCAAAAAAGATTATTTATGTGAATGTTTTGCTAGGAATCGACAATTCCTTAAAATTTAATAAGACAATCATCTAGATCCTAATGGTTTTCCAAAGCTATTCAGCTGAATAATGAAAGAATTACAGTAATCATGGATCGGTTTAAGTTAAACATTAACATCGTTGGATTCCGGCCCAGTGGTCTGGAGGTTAAGCATTCACTCGCGAGACCGAAGTTCTTGGGTTCAAGTCCTGAATACGGGATCGTGGATACGCACTGCTGATGGGTCCCACACTAGAACAGAATGTCTGTCCAATGCTCCCTTGTTTTGAGTTGTGGTCTAGCTTAAATAGACTAATGAATTCAACGATTAAAAGTCATGAATTTGTTTTTACGAAAGGAATGTATTCTGATATTCAAAATAAAAGTTTATCTCAAAGTTAATATGTATTCACTTAATCGATAAACATAATGTATGTAAACAATGAAATAAACAAGGTGTGCTTACTCCTCTCAAATCTAAAGAATTCCCTCCCTCCTCAATAATCTCTTCATACTCGTGTGAATGAAAATATCAATAAATTAGTAACCAGGTGTTTGCTATCTTAAGAATATGATGATAGAAAAACATTCTAAATATATATCTTTCGTAATTTATTAGTAGGTTCAAGTGTTCAAAGACAGGTAAATTTAATTACTTATCAAATGATATGAGAAGTAAATACCATTTTTTCTATTCGTTTGTGAATGCACATTTAATTTTAGCTAAAACGAGTTTTCATCAAAGAACAGTGAAAAACCATGTAGCCATAATTATTTGACTTTTTTCGTCTCAGCTTAAAGATTCTCTGTAGTGAAAATACTTGGTTTACACTCATTTCGAATGAAACTTATCCACATTATGCAACAAATGGAATAATAATATCAATAAATGAACCACCTAGTTCGAATGTATTATTTGGTTGTTCTTAAGCTCAAATAGTTATTGATATTGATGAATTAGTATTGGTAATTACAATTTCTTTTCACCATACTATCGTTACCTTCAGTTCAGTTAGTTAACAGGTAAATCACTAATAATCAGCGAATTACTTTTAATTCAGTCCCCTCTACCATGAATGAGTAACTTGACTGTCTTTTTCATGAAGGTTTAATGAATACCGTCAATGAATCTCAACCAAACAGAGAATGACTTTTGATAGACTATCAGTTTTATTAATTCTTACGTAATATTTTTCTTTTTCAATAAAAAAGAAAGTATCCTATTGTTCTCAGTTTCTCAAAAAGTAAAAAAGACGATTTTTATTTCTACGTCAATATAGACCTTTTTCTAAAAAAATCATACTGAAATTGAACCTTGATGTTTCTCTAGGTAGTGAGTAAATCGATTTGCAGCAAGGTATAACTTTTGCTTGGAGGAAAATAATGAACTTCGTTCGTTCTGATTTACTGTGATCAGTGTAGATATAGACATTGCAGTTTGCTTTTTATTGTTGTCAAAGACTGCTTTAGAGCTAGAATATATTCAAGTTATCCTAGTCTAATCATTTGTGTCTAGTTTCCAACATTAAATGAAATTTATTATTTAAAGGTTATTGTATGGCCGAAGTATCAGGCAAGTTGGTATAGCAGTATATTGTATTTAATTTCTAAACGTTTATTAAACCTGATGACTAAACGTCAGGAAGTCATCTACTGTACCGGTAACTGGTAGTCATTACTACGGTAGGGGTTTGTGGTGAATGTTGAATCTACATAGTTTACATCATGGATAGATCTACGTTAGACAACAATCGAAAACTAGAAAGGATTAGTTATTTCGTCCTAATATGAGGCATCTATGACCTCAAGGAAGAACGAACCCAGGATATTCAGGTTTCCCGGCGAGCTCTTAACTTTTCAATTAATGAATTTTTAAATGTTTAACTTCAACTAATTTGTACTATTGTGAGACCATTACCCATCAACATTGTTGAACTCCGGGAATTGCACCTCGAAATTAGCCATGGAACACATGATAATTAATAATAGAAGGGGGTTGTGTATATTGTTGTATTTAATAGTTTGCGTGGCGTAGCGATTTAAGTCAAACGAAACAGTTGTCTAGCGCTTCCTAATTTTCATTATTCGTCTAAGTTCATTCAGCGATGTAAACTATGAATCATTTATATTGGATTTTAATGTTTAAATATACAAACTACTGTAAAAATAAATATTCTTTTTGATGTTTTAAACAATTATATAAACTATGAGTTTAAACTTCAGAGCAATTATCTTGAAAACGCCTTTTCAATCGAATTCATTTACTTACATTGTACACAAAATTTAATTCAAATGATTTATTACTCAGGATTTTAGAAATTTACCTGCACTAAATTTTTTGGATTATATTTTGACGAAACATTGATTTATTGATACGTCGAAATCCTTTCTTGCACTACATGAAGTGCAATTTGTTGTCTATTGTTTACTTACATGAGAGTCGTGCAAAATCTAGGTGATCAATCTTCATTAACATAGAATAAAGTATGTACGTTGGCTCAAAACAACTAATACCATTGTTTCGAGACTGGAAACAGTTTCAAAAAGATCATGAAATAACTGAACTCACATTATTCTTCTACATTCGTTGTCCTTGTTTTAGTGACCTATCTGACTGTTAAGTATTGTATATCAGTTAGTTAAGCCTATCCGAATAAGGAAAGAGAGTAGAATCACGCAGTGACTCAGTTCATCTTTGAACATCAAACCCAAATTAAAGTACAGAAAGCAAATCTAATTGTTTAGTTATAAAAACAAATTTGTTTAAGTCTCTTAAGTATTACGGTGAATTTAAATACTATAAATGTGCAATAGTTTGGGAGTGAATGAATCGCATTTTAATTAATTTTCTATTCCATTTGTCTAGATTTTAACTGAAAACTAACCAAGTCCATAATGATTGACTAATCAGATTAACTAAAGTGGTAAGGAAAGTAAGAAACTGGTTTAGAAGCAACTCCAACAAAGAAATCTTTGACTAGATTTGTTAGTTAGGAGTTAAGTCAATACAAGTAGTAACTAAGAACGAAAATTCGTTAATTAGGGATTCGATTGTAACCACCAGTTCATTCTTTATATAAAAATGTGCAAAACAATTTGCTATTTTCCGAATAACATACAAGTAATTGTTCTTAATGTTATATCAACTAATGATTATTTAACATTTTACTGAAGTATTTGCCTTAGGTAGAATTAACGAAAAATTGACCGGTCATTTGATAGACTTTGAATAATTTAATAAAAAGTTTAATCATCAATGTGATGTATAACCAATGAGTCTTCCTAATGTTACATATTTGTCTTTAATCAGTAAAATCTGAATAAAGGTGTAGCATTGTAACAAACACTTAAATGGGTAATATATTATAAAACACATAAATCGACGTCTATTGTCGTTAATTTTATTAATTTAGACGATAAATTCATTTGGAAAAAAATTAGTTGAAATACAGTCCCAACAAAATGTGATTATATGTCGATTTATGTAATATTGTCAAGTTTATATTTTGAAATATTTGATCAAAGATACTTGCTATTTAAGGTTTTGTATAAGTCATCTGTGGCTTAAAGTACACAAAGAAAAAGAAACATGATTCCCAATAACAAATAAAGACATAAATGTGGTAAATATTGTGATATGTCATGAACTTTTTCATATGGACATAGTCAAAAGCTGAACAAATCAACAAGGATTCTTACCAATAATCATCCAAACTAAGAATCTAATCCACGTAGCCCCCGATAATTTAACCATTAGATATGCATTGATAAATATACTAATAGCGGGTATCCATGGAACCCCAGGGACCTGTAAAAATAATGAATGTTGTTTGAAGTTACAGCTTCGATAAACCATTAATATTGGGGAGCTTATTTTTAATAAGTGTTCTTGAAATTTTACAGAACTTGTCTCATGAATTCTTATTAGACTCATACATCGTTCTTCCTCAGATTCATCACGAATATGTTGCAACAAGTTATTTCTGCAGTACGTTTTTCACCAACTAAACAGTTGATCGACTGATTGAATTCGAGATAGCTCAACAACACATTCCGAGCCTTACAGGATCTATTGAAAGAAAAAACTACTATCAAGGACAAACGGAGAGGGATCAAAGAAGCATTGACCTCAACTTGTCAGAAGGCTCTGGGCCGTAAGAAGTATCATCATAAGGGATAGATCTCTATCGAAACCCTAGACAAGTTTCAAGAAAGGAAGAGAAAGAAGACAGCAATTAATAACAGCCAAACAGGAACAGAGAAAGTCAAGGCACAAGCAGACTACGCAGAAGCAAACAAGCAAGCGAAGAGGAGCATTAGAGCAGACAGTCAGAAATATATGGAAAGCAAGCAAAGACAGTGGAAAAAGCTGTAGGAGAAGGGATTATGAGACAAGTATATGACACAACGAAGAAACTAGCAGGGAAATATAGAAACCAAAGAGACCAGGTAAGGACGAACAAGACAATCAATCATTAAAATTCAAGGACAGAGGAACAGGTAGGTAGAACACTTTGAGGAAATTTTGAATAGGTCATCTCCACTGAACCTACCGGACATCGAAGCAGCACCTAAAGACCTTACTACAGATGTAACTCCACGAACGATTGATCTAACATCGACGTCAATGAATACTGGTGTTATCATCATTACTAAATAAATATTCAAGTGAAAATAAGGCAAACCGCCTAGGAGTCTCATAGTCTGTAAATATCTCCGTATAATCTGAAGCATTGCGTTTACATGTACTCGTATAGAAAAGGTGTAAAAGCTATAAAAATATATGTATAGTAGTAATAAACATCTGATTGTCAAAACTAATTTTTTGATTGAGTATAAAATAAAATATTTGCATAATGCCTGCAGATATTAATGAATAAGTATCTAAATAAAACTAATTTAAATACATTGTCCATCTGTTGCTCAAACTTTGAAATGTTACAGGAAGCAACAAGTTTTCTAACCAGCTGTTTGCAACAAACATCAAATTTTAAAGCACTTACGCTAAATAAAAATTAACAATAAGGAACAACATTATACATGAGAATATAATACGTACTTTGAATGCCACAGGTGTTTGATTTTCTGGTTGTCTAGCCAATGCTGAACAAATGATGATACTGACCAGTATCATTAATCCAACAAACGTCCATATTGGGACTGTGACTATCATATTTTTTGTTGCCTCTTCAGGTAGTTTATCTAACAGTAATATACCCAGATTGCCAAGAAAAATGAAGCAAACTAGAAAGTATACGTTAAATACGTCAAAACAAAAAATAATAAATTTACATTAGAAAGTGATGTAGTTCATAATTGCTTTTAAAGATTGAGTGAATATTCTGGGGGATTCATGTAGTAAGAGTTCAAGAACTGAACTGCTAGTTTATCCACGTTTTATTTTCGTGAGACGGATAATGCATTGCTTAGATATATGTTTGAACGTTGCGCACTTTGTATGGTCATTATAAGTTACTCCCAACAGCAAGCAAACTGTAAAATACACAACTATAAATACGAATGTACAGCTTAAGTTAATGATTCCATCGTAAATAAAAAATTTCCTCTCTGAATTCTCTTTGCGTTTGATCAAAAGTAGTAGTTCATCTTTAACTCATTCAGGTTCCGTATAAAGATAACTCAATATTCCACAAAAGTACCATTTCTCGCGGACCTTTTAAAAATTCTTTCTTCAGTATCGCTGCTTTAAGCTCATTATTCATCAACGAAATTTTTTCGGCACCTTAATGGATCTTTCAGTTTATTTAATTGGTTTTATGTTTCTCTCACTTAACCAAAGATGATAGATATTTATGATAGATATTCCCTGGAGCTTACTCAAAATATTGCTGGTAATGTGGAATAATATATTTTTGTAAAATCTCAGCGAATGAATTTGTAGTAAATCCAACGTTTCGCCCGGCAATCTGGTCCAAGCTTTTTCAAGGAATTAATGTCTTCAATATGTACTCAACTAATGGTAGAGAAATGTTTGGTACGTTAGTGGAACTTGTTATCAAAATATAAGTCAAATTACAAAACGGTAACACAAGACTAATTTCTTTGGTTAGATTTTCGGATCACAGATGTCACGTAAGAAAGTGACTGTCGATGTAAGAGAAACTCTTTTAAAGGTCGATACAACATTCAATCATAATATTTACATTTCGAATACACTGATGATGGTTATTGGATTAAAAATCAACATGATCAAAAATACTACAACTATTTATTTAATTCATATGTATACACAATCGTCCTTGCGTGCAAACTGAACATTAGATACAACAAAAAGCAAGCCTTGAATTCCTTTATAAATATTTACTAAATACATTTTTACTATATATTGCTAATTAAGTAAACCGCAGCATGACATATTAGCTAAGGTGAAATACCAAACATTCACACATAATTTCAGTTATAATAAAAGGCTTTAGATAAACGTCGTTAAATTAAGTGGTGCGAACCTTCTAGTATCGTCAGTAATTTGTGAAGATTATGACATTGTATTTAATAAGATCTACACCAACTGTTCGAAACCATTTTTTCTTTCTTTTAATTAATGAAAACCATGATATGAAATTAGCATCCATTTATTTACCTATTAGTTGAAGAAATTATCACTTACGTAATAAGTAACTATTTATTTTATAGATTAATTCAGTAGTTTTAGATGGTTTATCTAGACCAGGTTCAAGCTTGAAACATCTTTGGAAGTAACTTGAAATGTTGAGATGAATATTATCCGTAAGTGATGAATTGTTTGTTTGTTTCAAGGCCTTTGATAAACTAGAAAGACATGAGAGAAAAACGGTGTTTATAGACTGAAAGAATAACCACTTCATATAGTTCTTTAAGGGAGTAATAAAAGTTACAAAAACCTAAACAAAATATACCTTGACCAAGAATTCTAAGATGTGTGGTTATGCGTTAATAAGTAAACATAAGTCAAGTGAAGAGATTTCAGTCAGTTTTTCGACATGGCTCTCCCCTAATATTTAGTCTTTACAATTTAATTTACAATCATTTCCAATTTTTAAGGGCATCATATACTTTTAGGTTGATTAGCACTGAATTTTTACCTCATTCAATGCGGAAGGACGAAATATCGCTTTGCTTGTTACATGCAACATATTTCCATGAATTCTTATGAAACGCTCTTATGAAACACTGTTTAGTAAATATTAAATTTCAACTTTATAGATTGGTAAACAATCCATAAGACCTATATGATATAATCACTTATGGCTTTTAATACGTTTTATTCATTTTTACTTTTTCGTTTAACATCACTAAAAAATTGTTTTATTGTTCAATCTGCAGGCCATTTGTATTTTGGTACCGCCTCATTTGAGGATAATAAATACACAAATCGATTTATGTAAGTGATCATCAGCCCTTCATAATCCCATCAATTGATCAAACACCCACACATCTATACAAAATTACGTCCTTATAGCAGCTAGTAAGGTAACATTTCCTAAGTGTATAATTATGCTTTACTTAGTAACATGGAAGGAAAACATTATCGAATGTGGTAAGTAGCTACTATTTCTTTCAAAACATAAAATAGACAAGAATTGTTTTTATTTTCCAAGATTTAAACACTCAATGATTAACGAGTATTATGATTATGCATTTAAAAAAGTCAAATTAACATTAAAACTAAAGAATTGATTAAAAATTAAAAAATGCAGTTTGAAGATAACCACCTACCTTGGATTATCAATGTTATTTGGGGAAACAGAAAGTTTATCACGATCGGAATATTCATCAAAACCATTCGATCGTTCTTTATTACTACTAAGTGTATTGTCTGTCATTTTATTTGAAATCTTGAGTGGATATAATTTTTCACTAGTGATAAATTAAAATATATATAGAGATGAAAAAAAATTTGTTTTTCAATTTTAGTAAGATGTTCCGAAAACGCAAACAAATAAACTTAGACATTAACATTAACTTTTAACGGTGACTGTAATATTGAAAGGGATATATTTAAAGGAAATAAATAGTTCAAATCTAAAATTTTCATCTTTACATAATTGATTTTAATTTTAAAGGGACAAACTGTAATATTTATGATTTTGAACATAGCTATATCTATCTTATGTTTAATGAATATGTATCAGCAAATAAATGTTTCGTACACATTAAAATTTATCCAAGATGTTTGTAAAACCCTATGTCATTTTTAAAAGTAAATAACACCGAAGCGCTTTAGGTCTAAAAGTAGATGCATACCATGAGTTTTTTTTAATGATAATAAGAAAATCATAAAAGAATATATACATATAAATGGTTGTAAGAACATAAAGACGTAAATTTCCACGAGTTCTACAATGGATTTCTAAAAAGTGACATTTTTGATGAAATGAGAAAAACTTATGAAATATTAATACAGCATTATTTTATCGAAACTAAGGTCGAATCGAATGGAGGAAAAATGTCAAAGATGAAGTCTATAGTACATATATAATTCCCTTAAAATTGTGTTCATTACGCACAGGACAATGAACATCTTTAAATAAAGCTGATTTAAAATTTATCAGTAAAAAAAATTTTATAAAATAAACTGACATACCCTCAAATTTAATCGTATAATATTTTTATCAGTTAGATTGACTGCATGAGCATATTCACACAAGGCAAAACATTTTTTAAAGATGTTTTTCATGATGTCTAGTGGATTAATTAATCACTATTAATTAAATATAAGAGCAATATAAACAATTAGTTGTTACGATAAGCAGGATTTAAGCCGTACAGTCAGGTCTTAATTTGTCGGAGATTGGGTGACCTTCAAAGATGGCTTCCTACAATCGTTTACGTCGACTAATCGTATTTATTTTTTTATCATTAATCTGTAAACATGCGTGTTATTTTATTCATTCTTCTGTCTGGTAATCTTGCTTTTCATTAGTTCATTTGGGCGTTCAAATCGATAATCCGGTTTTGTGAGCAATCAGCTTCCGGCCACAAGGAAGCCTACGCTGCGAAATTAATATTTGAAGTATTTGATTAAAAATCAATACAAAGTCTACAGACACTCGTCGAATTTACTGAAGATTTGAGGAAATCACTAATATAAGACAATTGAATTAAACCTATAGTACAGGTTTGACTTCCCCGTTAAATATTTTTAAAACTGTAAATATTGGTACCTACTATTAGATCATTTTATATTTTATTTGCTTATTTTATCGTCTCTAATTAATTTGCAGTTTACTAATTAGTGTACAAATGTCTTAATTAAAATTAATTAACAGTTTCTGACCATCACATGGCATCTACATCTATGCCTGTTTGTAAAATTAATCAAGATAGTTATACATTGAATATTGGGTGGGATTTTAAATAATTCTTAACGTTCTAGAGACTTACTCAGATAATGATAATTTACCACCTGGCCAACTTTCATCGTCCATCAATACTTCTGTACAATCTTTAATGTTATTAAGGCAATATCCAATGGACATTTGTTGTCCTCTACAATGTGAATTTTGTTGGAAAGGAAAACAGAATAGCTATAAATAAATCTAAACAGTCATTAGTCTATTATATGCTTAGCGAAAGTCTATGTTGTTTAAGAATGGATTTTTCTACAAGCTTCGTTAAATGGAGAATTACTGGAAACGGACGTTTACTGGATCATTGACTTTTTCCTGTTCAAGACTCTTAAGTGGTGGCCTTGTACCGAGTGTAACGCATGGTCTTTAGGCATCACGATGATTAGGGAATATGTGGACCATTAAATTAACTCCGCCTGTAGCTCTTCTAGAGTTACTGCCGGTCCCAAGCCCACACAAAGGAGGAGGGTTGGGCATGGGGTTAGCGACCCCATCCCGTAGATAAGCTAACTCGCTAAAAAAACGCTAACCAAAAAAAAGTAATCCAAACCATATAAACTCTGTCCTGGGAGTTGAAGGAATAATTATGACGTCTCATGATGAAAGCCGAAATTCTTCGGAAGTCACGAGACCGATACACCTTCTAACAACCAGAGCAACACTCTTTATAGGTACATGGAACGTCCGGACGATGTGGGAGACAGGAAAAACCAGCCAAATAGCAATGGAAATGAGAAGATACAACTTGGCAGTACTCGGAATCAGCGAAACCCATTGGACACAAACTGGACAACAAAGGCTAGGTACAGGAGAGATGCTGCTGTACTCCAGTCACGAAGGGGAAAATGCTCCACACACTCAGGGAGTTGCTCTAATGCTGTCCAAACAAGCACGAAATGCACTTGTGGGATAGGAATCTCATGGATCCAGGATAATCAAAGCATCATTCAGAACAAAGAAGCCAGGGATCACAATGAACATTATCCAATGTTATGCACCCACTAATGATAGCAACGACGATGATAAAGATCAGTTCTATGAAAGGCTGCAATCAATTATAGAGAAGTGCTCACGAAAGGACCTCACAATCTTGATGGGAAATCTAAATGCTAAAGTTGGGGTGGACAACACAGGATATGAAGATGTAATTGGACGACATGGATTAGGAGAGAGAAATGAAAATGGGGAGAGACTTGCAAACCTATGTGCATTCAACAAATTGGTTATACGCGGCACAATATTCCCACACAAGCGCATACACAAAGCTACATGTATCTCACCGGACCACACCACAAAGAACCAGATAGATCACATCTGTATCAACAAAAAATTCCGAATATCAATGGAAGATGTGAGAACCCAGAGAGGAGCTGATATAGCTTCAGATCACCACCTGGTTGTGGCCAAGATGAGACTGAAGCTAAAGAAAGACTGGACAACTGGACAAACAGCACTACAAAGGTTCAATACAGCCTTCCTTCGAGATACTGACAAGCTCCATGAATTCAAGATAACTCTCAACAACAGGTTCCAAGCTCTACAGGATCTACTGAAAGAACAAGAAACTACTTTGGAGGACAACTGGAAAGGGATAAAAGAAGCACTAACTTCAACGTGTCAGCAGGTTCTTGGTCCTAAGAAGCATCATCACAAAGAATGGATCTCTATGGGAACCCTGGACAAAATTCAAGAAAGGAAGAACAGGAAACTAGCGATTAACAACAGCCGAACACGAGCAGAGAAAGTCAAAGAACAAGCAGAGTACACAGAAGCAAACAAGGAAGTGAAGAAAAGCATTAAAGCCGACAAGCAGAAATACATGGGAGAACTAGCAACGACGGCGGAAAAAGCTTCAAGAGGAGGGAATATGAGACAACTATATGATACAACGAAGAAATTGGCAGGGAGATATAGCAAACAAGAGAGACCAGTCAAGGACAAAGAAGGAAAGACAATCACTGAGATTCAAGAACAGAGGAAAAGATGGGCAGAATACTTCGAGGAACTGCTGAATAGACCAGCCCCACTGAATCCACCGAATATCGAAGCAGCCTACACTGACCTTCCAATAGATATCACTCCACCAACGATCGAAGAAGTCAAGATGGCCATCAGACAAATCAAAAGTGGGAAGGCGACAGGACCTGACAATATACCAGCAGAAGCACTGAAGTCAGACATTGAAATAACTGCAAACATGCTTCACCTTCTATTCAAGAAGATTTGGGAAGAGGAACAAGTGCCAATGGACTGGAAAGTAGGATATCTCATCAAGATACCAAAGAAAGGAGATCTGAGCAAATGTGAGAACTACAGAGGCATCAGTTTGTTATCAGTACCAGGAGAAGTTTTCAACAGAGTGCTGCTGAATCGGATGAAAGACGCAGTAGACGCCGAACTTAGGGATCATCAGGCTGGATTCCGTAAGGATCGGTCGTGCACAGACCAGATTGCGACACTACGGATCATCGTTGAACAATCAGTTGAGTGGAACTCATCACTATACGTCAACTTCATTGACTATGAGAAGGCGTTTGACAGCGTGGACAGGAGAACATTATGGAAACTTCTTCGACATTATGGAGTTCCTGAAAAGATTGTCAACATTATCCAAAACTCATACGATGGACTACAGTGCAAAGTGGTGCATGGAGGACAGCTGACAGATGCATTTCCAGTAAGGACCGGAGTCAGACAAGGCTGTCTACTCTCCCCATTCCTCTTCCTTCTAGTGATTGACTGGATTATGAAGAATTCGACATCTGAAGGGAAATACGGAATACAATGGACTTCTCACAATCAATTAGAGGATTTGGACTTCGCAGATGACCTAGCCCTCCTCTCTCATACACACGACCAAATGCAGATGAAGACAGCAAATGTAGCAGCAGCCTCCGCATCGATAGGCCCCCACATTCACAAAGGAAAAAGCAAGATTCTCAAATGCAACACGGAGAACACAACCCAATCACACTTGATGGCGAAACTCTGGAAGAGGTGGAAACATTGACGTAACTGGGGAGCATCGTTGATAAACAAGGAGGATCGGATGCAGATGTGAAGGCGAGGATTGGCAAAGCAAGGGCAGCATTTCTACAATTGAAGAACATATGGAACTCAAAACAACTCTCAACCAATTTCAAGGTCAGAATTTTTAATACGAACGTCAAGACAGTTCTACTGTACAGAGCTGAAACGTGGAGAACTACTACGACCATCATCAGGAAGGTACAAGTATTTATAAACAATTGTCTACGCAAAATACTCAACATCCATTGGCCGGATACTATCAGCAACAGCGTTTTATGGGAGAGGACAAATCAGCTTCCAGCTGAAGAGGAAATTAGGAAAAGACGTTGGAAGTGAATCGGACATACATTGAGGAAATCACCAATGTGCATCACGACTCAATCCCTAACTTGGAATCCGGAAGGGAAGCGGAAGAGAGGAAGGCCAAAGAACACACTACGCCGGGAAATAGAAGCAGATATGAAAAGGCTGAATAGCAACTGGAAAGAACTGGAAAGGAAGGCTCAGGACAGAGTTGGATGGAGAATGCTGGTGAGCGGCCTATGCTCCTCCACATGGGGTAACAGGCGTTAGTAAGTAAGTAAGTAATGTTGGTATTTTCAACTCGTCATTTATTCCCCAAAGTAAAACCTCAACCATCCGATAACATTATCTGTAGAAATAAAATTTTCAGCGACAAATAGAGGCCAGATGAGTGTGAGACCTGAAAGTATGAAATATTTCTAAAATTATATTGCATTGTAAATACTTCAAAGTTTACGCTACGGATACCTGAATGTAATAAAACAGTTATGCAAACTCCATTTTAAAAATGGTATTATTCATTTTTGTTATCACTTATCTGTCTATTGTAGATAACTGTAATTTTAAGTTGCAAACATTGCTTTGTGTGTTACACAACAGCAATGCTAATAGTGAATTTACGATATTAAATAACTAATTAAATTAAAAAGTAAAACTTCATATGTTATCGAGTGATACACACGCCAGTTGATTAACTTTCTGCAAGTGGGATTGTTATACACCACAATGTTAGTTAGTGATATAATAGTTTACACTTTATTTCATTCGTATAATAAAACATAAGTAAGCTAAATACTATGTGTTCTGTATAGGTTTGTTTGGGAAGTGATTTGACTCGAATTGATACAAATCGTCTCTCTCTCGACCTTAAAAATGAAATAGTTGGAAGCTTTAGATTTAACTCCAACTCCGATAATGATGATAAATATTTTTGAAATATTAAATGCACTCTTGGCATTAAAACCAACAATCTCACTTTGATAGCTGCGATAGACATTTTGGTAAAATACCATAATCGTTATCCTTATTATCAGAATACTTTATGGGATCTGTAAGGTGTTTAAAAATGGTTGCCGAAGACATTGAATTGAACATATGTTGTTTTCATTCCGAATATATTTTACAGGCATTTTCTCTTTCTTAGCATGGATAGTGCATAAAGGCTTTGACTAGGTATTGGAAATTTTGTTTTACAGGATTCTTGAGGTCACTGAATATCTCTCATTAAAACTTTAATGGTTTTATTTTAACTATACATAGTTGTTGATGACTAAGTATGAAAATAAAAGCAACAGTTTGAATGCTCATCTAAAAAAATAATTTGAACGGTAAAGTATTTAAAATTTAAATGAACAATTATACGATCGAAATTTACAGTGTTTATAAAATAATATTTCGTAGAACGTATAAGTTACCTCAAAAGAAGCACAGAAACAGACACTAGAGTATAAGCAAGGAGTGTTCCGATTGACATCATATCAACTAGATCTTGTAAACTGAATACTGCTGCCATTATGCCTGGAATCATTACATATAGAAGTAGGTAGATAAGCATAATTTGTTAGTAAGCTATTTATTAATAAGTAATTACTAAGAGAAGTTGAATAATAAGTGACATTATAATTCTAGATGATCAAATATATGATGAATCTGCATCAAAATAAGTATTCAAACTGCACGATTACTTGTTGTTGCATGGAACTGAGGATGAGAAATTCAACCTGTCGTTAATTTTTTGGCGATAATTAAGCCACAATATGATAGATGATCAAAATGTACAACTTGTGGTCATCATTTGTAAAAAGCGCAAAAGAAATGAGTTTAGGGTCTACTGTTTTCGAACAGCACAACGTACAATTTTATAATATCCTGAAATTTACTATTAGATATTTGAAACCTATCAGCCAAAACAAACTTCCGTAATTCATACGATTTCTGTCACTCACGACATAAAGAAAATCTATCTATAACATTACGCAATAAGGCATTCAGCCATGCAAATTGATTTTGTAGGGTTTCATCCCTCATTGTTTAATAAAACCCAACCTTATCATAGTAGTGAGACGCATTGCGTGCTAATATTATCTTCAGTGAAGAAAAGTGAATTACCTAAATAGCCTATTACGTAAATAGTTATTGCTTAGTGTATATATTTTATATCTATGGTATAATTCAAGATGGGTTACTTTTTTATTCAAACCTAAACATTTTCGATTGAGATCATGATCACATTCAAAATCTTAACAATCTCCACAACTTCGTACTCTTAACCATTTTCCTTACTCTGAATAAATATCACAGATGATAGAAATAAATGAAATTTAAAAATGAACATAACAGTGATGGAAAAAACATAATGAATAATGTCATATTGAAATAAAAGAGATATCCTGAATAATCATCTGACTGGATTAAAAATGTGAGCAATACTGAACAAGATTTCATGTTTTTATTCAATCCTACTCTAACATACAGAGGCTATTTTCATATTGAGATGGTGGAGAAGATTTGTAGCTCAGGTGGGTGATTTTGATGTTGGTTTGTTCTCTGAGCTGGATGGTTTGGTCGTGTAGCTTTCATCGTCCTTCTGAGCGACATCATCAGCACAAACAAAGAAATAAACAATGACAGATTTAAGGTCAATAAGAACCAATCAACATCGAGGTGCAGAGGACAAGCTATGAATCACATGTGGAGAAATTCAAACACTTCACTTCTACCCGAAGTTTGTGCTGATGATGTCGTTCAGAAGGACGATGAAAGCTCCACGACCAAACCATCCAGCTATTTTTATATCGTTTTTCAGAAGTACATTTGTACACTCAAAGTGATAGTGGTGGATTGCTTTATTTAGCCACTGATTTCCAAAAAACACCATTTTAGCCTAATTATTAAAGCTATGATACATATGTGTACGCATAAACATGGATATTCAAAAATACTTACATCCAATAACACCTGATACAACAGTTCCCACAAGTGGAGTTTTAACTTTTGAATTTATTCGATTTAAAAACCCAAATAACAACCCATCAGTTGCCATAGCATACAAAATGCGTGGCAATGGGAACATTGAACCTAAAAGGCTAAAAATACATATAATTCACTAAAATAATTAAAGTGTTAATGAAATTGGAAAAAAATTTTATTGGTGCGTAAATGATTCACATAAGTTTGAATAATTTTTTCATGATACTAGCACAAACTCATTACAGTTAGAATTCAAGGTACTAGATGTTAAAAAGAAATGGCTTTCACATTTGTCGATGCTCATCAAATTAACCTTTATCAAACCTGGTTAAGTTAATGTTGTGTCCTTAGCTTGTACGATTATCGCGAAATACGTTTGCCAATTTACAAACTCTGACTTATACGACTAAACAAATGACGCATACACCAGTACAGGCAGCCTACAGTTCCAATTGGTCGTTTCTCCACCTAACCCTCCCTGCCTATTATGTACAAAACGTCAATCTCAGACTCCACGATACAAATAATATATTTTAAACATATTGGGTTTATATACATCCAAATCAGGCCACACCATACCATAAAATAAGAAATCACATTTGTACAAGATCAAGCTAAAAGTGGTTGTGATTGTGAAAAAATGTGACCAATAGATTATGAACAACTTGAGAATAGTAAAACATATAACAATAACCAATAGATCAAATAAAAGCTTACAATGAAAGGAATATGAATATACCTATAATGTGATGAGTTCTTCTTATATCCAAATAAGTAGTATATGATGAGGGTAAGATATAGAATGTATTTTGACAGAAGATCGATAAGGAACGAACAGAAACGAAGCGCGATCGGTACAAAAATGCATGAACAATGAAATCAGAGAAGAAGGACTGATATTTGCAGAAGAAACAATTAAGATTGAAACAATTGATTGTTAACTGTTGACTGTATGGTTATCAGAATTCAGTGAGATAGTCTGTAATTTGTGCTTAAATACATTCGATTGTCCCAACTCGTGTTCTCATTCACTACAATAATATAGTTACTCAATAGTCATACAAGAAGAATATTCGTATAATATTAGTCCATAAGTAATTCTTAAAGGTTACCATTCATTTATTCTCGTCTGGATATAACAGTTTTGTCGACTGATTTCAAGCAATCGAAAGCACATTAGTCTGCAAAATGCTTAAATTGTTGAGCGATTACATTTTACTCAATAACCGGTGAATAAGTATAACTGACCTCATTTAAATAAGATTATTGTAAATGTATAACATTCCCCAATTTATACATTGAGAAAAGTTTTGAATTGGTTAGTTTGCATTAAGAAATGTTAATTTACTAGTCAAATGTATTATAACAGAGCGGGAATAGAAAAATACACAAATTAGTCTTGGGTTATATGAACCGGATGAACCGTTAATTCCAACAGAGAACATATGCAGGGGATTTCAAGTTTTATTTACAAAAGTAAATAAGTATTGTTTGAGAGAAATCTTCTTCCTTCGAAATAATAATGCAAAATCACAAAAGCAAATATCTTGATGCGATTATTAAGAACTTTCATTCAACCTATAACTAGTGAAAATTATTTGACCGATTTACTGAGTAACATGAGAAAACGAGTGCTAATAATCCTGTTATAATAAATTTCAATTATCATACAACAAACAGTGACGGAGATTACAATACTGTATTCAAAATTATCATGGAAAAGAACAGTATGTCAATTATTAAATAGTTACATTTATTTTGCCCCCGAATGCCCTCGTATGGCAGAGAGTGGGGAGAGTCTGCTCTTCCTCTCCAAATGCTCTCATACGGCCACGCGTATATAGCCCCTGCCAGGAAAGTCCTACTCACTGTCTTCTAGTGGCGGAGGTGTTGTTTACAAAATTGAGAGGACGAAAAATGAATGTCCGGCGCTTTAACCAGGTTGGTGGGTGTGGAGTGTCCACCTAGGGGAGTTAGAAAACCCTCATTCCCAAACCAATGGTGCACATGGGCTCCAGTATCTCGAGGGAACAAATGGCGTATGAATCAATCGTTGGTCACCGGTTACCATGGGACTGCATCTCCTCACGATGCTCCACTGCCTTGTGGACTAGACCTTCAGGCCGAAGGCTCCGGGTGTGGCCCCCTAAGAAAACCACCTGCTTTGGTTTGGGCACCTGGGCAGTATCACAGCCCTCACACAAAGCGAATGAGATTTGTGCGGCGCATGTGTATCTGGTGCTTCCTTGTACCAATATTTACGTGTTCAAATATTAATAATTTTTCACGATTACTTTATTTTAGAAAACCTTAAATACTGGATTTGTAGAGTAATAAAATGATATATTTATGTACAGATTAATAACAGAAAAATAAATATGATTATATGTCATGGAAAATTAATGAAGATTATATTTGTAGGATATTTACTGTCTAGTAACCTAAGATTTTCCAGTTATAGCAGTAAATGGAACATTCATTTCAAAATCGAAAGAAGAAAATATAAAATTTAGAACAGACTTATTTCACGGCAAATAAGTTTGGAAGACAGTGTACCTTCTTAGTATAAATTCCAAGTTGCTAAAACTATGCTAGTTTTAGGTCTAGTGCTTTATGTAACGAAGACAGATCAGTTAATATGGTAATGAACTACCACTACTAAACGTTGGTAAAATTCGCGTCAAACTTAAATTGTTATTGACTATTTAGTATATCATTTTCAATTACGTTAGTGGACTTATAGTGATAAACATTTAGAGGTTGTAAGTAGAATATATCACACCATATCAATTGAGTTGAAATTTTAATAGTGTAAGCTTTATTGTCGAACTAGTAGCTTTGACAGTTAAATGACCGAAAACAAGATGTATTCACTTTTTATTTTGGCTCGAAACATTTAAGTCATGTTATCCTATTGCTTTTCACATTTGATTGCATATCTTTTTCTTGTTTCTCTTGTTGTGTTGACAAAAAGATATGGTAGTCTTAATCACCAATCTAATTAAATGGATGTTTCATTATCTATTCATTTACTAGAATATCCAATCGTAGATAGGATGAGGTAGCAAGGAAAAACATGATATTCATTTTATTTCATTCATGTACTGTCTTATATACAAGTTAATGTAATTAAATAGGTTAGAAATAACCATCTGTTTCTTCTGCAGTTTGACTGATATACATTAGAATACTGATTTAAGATCATCTGTTCTGCATCATAGAGACAGAATACTTTAGGATATTGTAAAGGTAAGCAGTTTCCAGCATACATCGTATAAGAAGCTTCCAAGCCAAATGAATTGCTTTGCTCAACTGAGAATACAACCGAATCGCTTTGACAAATAAATCAGTTTTTACGACTTATTGTATTTTAAAAAATATTCGTGGAAAGCATGCGGTGGCAGGGACAAGAGTGACTAGCCAAGCTAAATATAGTGTTTATCGCATTAAACAAAACACTCAATTCAACAATAACAATATAAAAATTGTTAGTAAATTTCATTAGCATTGCACTTACAAAAATGTAAAAATGTTAATGACATCTAATTAAAGTGCATCTTTGATAACAAAGTTATAAAAATGCTGATATTTTCACAGCCACCAAACAACGTTTTCATGTATTATTTGTTCCGGTAAAGCTATTTTCAACTGAGTTTAGTTTCCACTCTACATATTAGTAAGACGTTTAAGCTGTACCAACCAAATGAAAATAGTATTGATTGTAGTCAAAGATTTTCAATGGCCTAAGAAATACCGGTTGGAAAAGCTGTGTGACTAAAAACAATCTTAAGTGTATTCTTTAAACGAAAGCTAAATTAAGTACTTAATTCATGTTCAGAACTTTCGAGTCAGTAATCTAAAGTTTTTACCGATTACTAACAAGTATATTAATTAACTGAATGTAGATAAAGATACGGTAAATGATGTGTGAATTATGATCCGTATTCTTGTGATAAGACAGTTTTGTTGTGAAATCTACCAGCCTGTCACAAATTAATGGATTTATTCAGTCATTTTTAGATAGATCTTCAATCATGAGACTATATCGATTCAGTATCTTTTACGAGTCATAGGATAATAAATAACTGCAATTTCTTAATCTGGAATATTTCCGGGAACCCACGAAATATGAAGACAATAACTGTTGGTTTACAACTTGATAATTTATCGATAAAATAAGAAATCACACCCGTGCTTTCTCTGACTTGAATTCGATATAAATAGGATAACAAAACTAAGATTAAATGGACTCCTACTGGTAATTTATTTCTAATACTGTCTCAGAAAATATCGATACATAGTTGCAATATATTCCAGTTACATCGATTGTTATTATTTCTGAAGTGTTATAAAGTTAAAGCATTGTTAACAAACCTAGTAGTCAGAGCACACAAGGCCCCAGTAGAAATAATGTATTTTGCCCATTGTAAGCCATGACGACTAAATGCAAGTGGTAAAGCAGCAACAGAAGAGATAGCATAATACGGTACCATCAATGTAAGTGTAACAGATATAAGACCATATGCCAAGAAACATATTAGCAGGCATCCGATAATACTTATAGGAATCGCTGTTTGCGGATTACGCACTTCCTCACCTTAGAAATGATAAAATAGAAAATTGAAAAAAAGTAAATGAACCTTTATGTACAGTTTGTGATTAAAAGAAACTAGAAAAAATAATTTGTCACTATTTACCTAAATAAATTCAGAGCAGCATGCCCAGAACTTAATATGTGACTGTAAGTTTTAAATGACTTATTTCTGGAGTTCCTTTTTATGCTGTTGACAAAATATTGTTCAAGTATCAAAAATAACATGTAGATGATTGTATAGAAGATATTTGAGAACAAAAAGAGATCAATTTAAAAAAAAAAACAAGAAGTCACAATGAAACCTAAAAATCATCTAAATAGGATGGCAGTTTTTTATCAGTATCTTTATCAAAAATACCTAAGCTTTTAGAATGTCAGACGTAAGGTTCGAGTCTCAGTCAAATTATCGTCAATTAGTAAAGTATATATTACGCTTACTGATCAAAAATAAATAAGACAAATCACGAATGTCCATACTGTAAAACTGAACAGATAATCCAGTTTGATCACGTGATTTAAAGTTATATATTTTCAAAAAAGTTAATATAAGCAGATGATGAACTGGTAAATGTTCATCTTGTTATCCTAATTAGTCTGATAACATCAAAAAGTTCTGGTTGAACTTTAGATTTTCTGTTCCTATTAGACTTATCTTTGCCAGTAACTATGTATGTCATTAAGGTGCTAATTTTTTTAAAATTGTGGATTAATGATTACCTAAATATGATTGATATTTTTCTATTCATTTCGGATAACTTATTCTGGTAGATCAAGCTTTTTTAAGTTTTACTTTTTATCATTAGACTTTGATCTCTTGAATTTGCTAAAGCTCATAACTATCAAATACTTTTAATTTGACAGCCAAATGTAATTGTAACTTTTATCCAATTATTTTAAGATCAATGTCACCTGTGAATTAAAATTTATCATGTACGACTATAGTAGTAAGATGAACATTCGACTAAACAGAATCTAGATTTTTTCCTTTTGATCAATTTTCATATTTAGACATTTGCCTAACAGAATTTCTCATATGAGTTCATAAAAAAGACTAATTTATATAATCACAGATACAGAACATTCCATATTCACTTTTAAAGGAATGAGAACTTCATGTGGTATGTAAAATAACACTACAAAGTGAACTTACAACAAAACCCATAAATGAATCCATTAATTCTTTCATTTTACATAAATATTAGTCAAAGACATAAACAATAATTAAATTAACTACCTGTTGTAGCAATAATATCGAATCCGACAAATGCAAAAAAACACGTTCCGGCCCCAGAAAGTACGCCATTCAAACCAAAAGGAAAAAATCCACCATTTCCTAAATTTGCATGTTTTGCAGTGTTATTGTCCAGAACCTAACGATCGAAAAATACGTTTGATTAATTTGAACAATAACTTCGGAAATATGACCGTCAAATTTTCAAGCAAATATATTGTTTTTATTCCTTTTAGCTTGTACATTTAACAGATGCTTATTAATCCAAAAACAGTAAGGGTTTACAACTGGTCATTAGTTAAGGAGTCTAGAAAGTATATTACTGACGTGATAGACAACTGAATGACTTTAAGATCCCATATCACGAAGTTGATTAAATTTCGGACTACATTAATATCATTATTTAGTTTGAGAATGCCATTCCGGGCTAATATAATAACCTGAAGGCCAAACTAATTATCTCTCAACATTTAAACTAAATTTATATATCCCCTATGGTTATTGAACTTTAGTTTTGGACTTTTACGACTTACTGCAAACAAATTTTTTTTCAATTTTCTTATTCAAAGGAAGTTCTCCAATAATAAATCGTAGTTTTCATTTAAAACAAAAAATAGTGAATGTTGCTTTCAATATTCTGGTCTTCAAACTATATTTATTTCAATACTGTTAAAATTCAAAGTAACTAGAAGTCTCTAATGAGATATTAAGCCATGGTTAACTCTATTTAGTTTATTTGAGAGTATTTTATTAAAATGGTTTACAGTATAATATCCTTTTTTAAATGACACATTGTTTACTGAAATAGTGTTTATTTCAGCTTTCTGATTCAGTATAAAAAATTCTTTTACGTATAAAAGCTATTGGTAATAGATTTAATAGTAATAATCCGTCCACAGAGAATAGTAATCTAGCTTCTGCTGAAAGAATCTTCATGGAAATATTTCTTGTGATTTTAGTGAATAGCGCTGTGATTACATTTTTACTTTTGAGGTTTCTCAACAAATTGAGTAATCCTCCTGTTCACTTAATATTGAATCAATCGATTATAAACGGTAAATAACAAAAGAAAACAAAAAAACAGCAATTGAACTAACATGAAATGTTTCCTAATTTGTTAATGAACATATCTAAAGAAAAAATATGTACTCAGTAGTGATATTAGATGGTTAGTGTAACACAATAGTCAGGTATTGGTTCATATACATGGCTTTAAGTCGCACTGAATGCGAAGACGAATGAAACTAAACTTGTAATTTCATCAAAAGACTTCATCGACTATACGAATGGTAATCATACAATTCAGAAGTAAGCATTAAGCAAAACGTTGTTAGTAAATAATTGTATCTTAACTGGTATTTATACACATCAAACATCTGTCTACAATCAATAGTCTTAGGATATTAGCGTTAAACAATCTGAAGATTTTGAATAGACTCTCAGAATTACCTAAGTATCAGGACATTTAATGACCCCAGCGGTTTTCCATTTCATCTTAAGCTTAGAGATATATATATTTTTAAGGATTACTATGAGCATTGTATTCCGTCAATTGTACAATAAAACGAATATTCACATTGCTAACCGACAACTTTGGTTAACATGAAATAATGATAATGATGAAAGTGGAATATAACGAATAACCAGTACTGAGTTACTTCCTGTTTTTTACGCAATAATTATTTCAAATAGTTAATAAAAACATAGAGTATGAATAAATTCAATCAAGGAAATATATTTTTCCTCTAATTCAAAGAAACACACTTACATTCTCTGGAATAACTTTCCAGTTATCAATATTTGCATAGATCAACCCAGTTACAATTACAAATATGATGACACACAAGTTGACTATTGTGAACACATTGTTAATTATTGCGGATTCTCGTACACCGATACTTAAAAGAACTGAAATAAATACATCAAATGAAAAGTGGTAGACAGAAGACAGTTTTTTGTTAGGTGAAATAAAATTGTAGAGAAATTGGTGAGACAATAAATTATAGACGAACCAATCAGATTTAGGATAACGGGTCATGGATTTTAGAGTGAAATCCATTCATACATTTGGCTAAATAGCGTTTTGGAAATTTAGCTGATGACAGTTCATGATGAAAACCCTAACTGTAAATCACAGTCGTTATTGTTCACACATGTTTACGAACTTCATTTAGCCCTAGTAAGTAGGTGGACATTCTCAATGTCACTTTGGCGTTGCTCAAAGGTCATCCATAAATTATAGTCTCACCGAAAAATCTTCTGGGATACTATCTCAGTTACAAAAGTAGTAGTAGTAGTAATCTAGATATCGGTTGAGAGTAGAAATCTAAAAGTTGTTCCAAAATTCATGGAAGAGTCCCAGTTAATCAACAAGGTACTAGGCTCACTATTCGCGGCGAAACCCCCCAAAATATTTTCCTGTTGGATACGAATGACCGGTCAAATAATAAACTATTAGTTTCGAAATCCTATGAGATCTTAAAAACGTAAAACTTGTAAAATATGTGACTGAAAATAGGATTGCAATTCAAATACTTCAATTGCATTCCTACACATCAATGTTAAAATCCAATCAACGAATATATATGGATTATACTTCACCTCATTGCATAGGCCAGTAGCTATCAGGACTTTATGGATAATTGGATAACGCGATAGTGTCTGGAACGAACGGTTGTTGGTTCGAGTCTTGAATAGGTAGATCCAGCTAACGAATCTCGAATAAGACAAAACGCTCTTTCTGAATTTCACTACTAGCCACCATCTACCTTTGCTTTTAATTCTTGCAATTTAACGAAAATATCAAAGCGATCCCTACAGGATGCACTTATCTCAAAAGAGACTGACCAATTAGAGTCTTCAACATCGACGGGAGTATTCAAACAACCGATACAAATGAATTAGGATTGTATGAACTTTGATTTTTAAGGAGAATCGTTTTGAAAACTGCTAACTTGATTCGTTTAGATTGATAAGAAAGAATTTCCATTTATCGGTAGTGAAGAACAGTGTCAAGTCAAACTTTTAATTCATTAGGTGAAAGTTGATGCTATAGTTAAACTTGTTTCACTCAAACAACTAGTGGAATCTACTAAATGGAAGATCCAAGCTCATCGTTAACCGTAATCAGATGTCATATTTTGATATTGTTCCTCATAAGTGTAACTGGACAATCAAAATTATGACAGTCATAAAGCAAACGTTCTTACTTGTCATTAAAATAATTAATCCAACAGCAAGTGGATCCACATATTCAGCTAAACCAGGAAGATTTAATGCCAAATGCTTTTTAAAAAATTCTTCTATTTGGCCGTTGAGTATACCATCGAAATTGGAGCTCCAAGCTCGTGCAACACTTGCGATGCCTAAAGTAAGAAAATTAATATTTCAAATTTAGATGAGTTTATATATATATATATATATATATATATATATATATATTTAGTTTTCAATTCACTTTTTTATGTAGTAACTGATTATCATAATAACTAATAACATTAAAGATTAAAAAAATATCTAAACTATCAGTTTCCCCTCATATTTCTTACAATACTTTAGGGGTTGCGAGTTATTCTCCAAACATATTCATATTACAAAAATTACGCAAGTAGTTAGGGAAAGTTCATTCAACCTGGATTTAGTAAAATGTTGTGCAGAATCTCTTGAAACTAATATGTTTACTTAAGTTTGCATTACTGTTCAACTTTCTGGGTGACAACTGTTTTCGCATATCTTCGTTTGGTTGAATTATGGTACCACTTAACATCTGATTCATGCAAAACAAATATATCTACGATGTTCCGTGTCACGAGAGCATGTTATCATACAAAAATTGTAGTCATTATAGAACACTGGCTTGAAAAACAGGCGTAACTCATGTGCTCTAATTCCTCGGGCATTACGTACATCAATATTTATGAAGGTTTCGGTTGTTTACACAAAACCCTAATTGATGGAATCCTGCTCACGTTAAGTACTTGTTGATACGTCCTAACTACCCACTTGATGTCTCGGAGATCAGAAGAAATATCTGTTAGGGCTCAAAACCATTTGGAATAATGTACCTGACATAAAATATTTCAATTTCCACATAAATTACTACAAACCTATAATACACAGTAACAATTTTTCAATTACATGTTTAGTATTGATTTCAAATTTTTGCTACTAATTCCATTATTCTTCACCTCTCCTATCTCTTTAGATTACTGTATCATACTACTTTACATCAAATTTCCGTTTTCGAAGCAAAGAAAAATAATATTTGAAAATTATCCACGGTGATTTCACAAGTTACTATGTGAACCTTACCGATTACATATTCTAGTATCAGATTCCAACCAATTGTAAACGCCATTATTTCTCCAACAGCAATGTAGCTATATACATAAGCTGATCCACTTTGTGGCACACGGGCTCCAAACTCGGCGTAACATAATCCTTAGCAAAAAGAGAAGAATATTCGATTAATATTTCGTCAGGCGTAGGCTACTTTACTCAAGAAAGTTGGAAACTTTGATGCATAAAAGGGCCTTTCATCATTAAATTTTTGTTTGAGTGTAACTTTCACAACGTATATTCTGTCAGAAGCGGTATTTTCAAAAATCCGTTTAACTTCCATTTTAGTAGTAAAAAAATCTAAATGAATTTTTCAATATAAACACTTATGTCTATTATCCTGTTTATATAAATACTTCATTTGATAAACTTATGACGTAAATTGGATTTACAGACAATTAAAAAAGAGTGAAAATATTACAAGATATGGTACGATACAAACCTTGAATGAAATGCTTAATAAGTAAATAATTAAACAGACACTGCATTTCATGATTATGGAGCACAGTCTGATCACTAAGTTTTGTGTATTGCACTCTGCAGTTATATAGTACATTTCCCGCTAGTCAACATTGATATTACACACACCAGATGGCTGAAAAGAACGTCGGGGTTAGTGGTTCTGTTTTTGACCATTATGCTGGAAAACTGGAGTTTGAAATTTAACCGGAGTTTAAGTTTCTCTTAATTTCGACTTTGAAGAATCTACACTGAGAATCAACTAAACCACATCAACTCTATTTACATCTTTTTCTATTTATGCTACCGGACAAAACAAGCATTTAAAAATTATCAGTCTTCAACGATTATATCATGATGATACAAATATCATGAAAAGTTAGGTTCATCAGTTGTACAAGTGCTCGACAGTCCGTGGATTGTATTTTCATAACCATGATGGTTTAGCATGAGTCATATTTTCACTTTATTTGTTTATTACGCGTAAATGTTTCACAAGGATAGAGGAAATTTGCTGTCACCCTTGAGTTGCAAGCCCTAACTTTCACAATCAGACTAATTTCACAGCAGCTTCAAAGATATAGATAAACTTCTCTGACTCCCACTGTACATATATCAATTTTGAAGGGCACGTGAACATCAGCACCCACACAATCATTAACGTGCATGAACTTTTCGACTACTCCTAGCGAGTCACCACAAAGAGCACCGGTACAAGACCCTTGCAATCATTTAAAAGTTTTTTTGCATTTAAAAGGTGAAAAGTACATACGACGCCGATGGACAATAGTTGTCAACAAGTTAAGTGCGGACTGCGCAGCTTGAGTACCATGGCACAGTAAGACAGTATCATCAGAGTGCATGAGGTCGAAAAGTCTTTCTACAGGTTCAAAATCTACACTGCCACTATTTATTTTAATCATAGCTGTATTTGCAGTGTTATAGATGTCAAATTTAAAGTAGAACTCCTAAACCTTCCCAAATTATTCGCTCATTTCTCTAATCAGAAGCCCACCAATATTCTTAAAATAGTCAATGGGTGACTCGTCTGGGCCTGGCGAGTTGTGACACCTAAGAAGATGGCGTTTCTAGTAGACCTCAACTTCGTTAGGTGGATCAATTGTCATCTTCCATGAAAGGATGGTTAGTTTCATTGGGACTGAAGACGGGACAAACCAGGTGGAGTATTTCTAAAAAAAAACTCGCCGTCTAAGAAGTCATAAAATGTTGTTGATTGTGGTTCCATCAACTTCACAGATTTTTCCACCTATATTATAGTTCTTCTTGCCAGTATCTTGTAAAAATTGAAATAATCTTCAGTAGCTCTCAGATGTAGCTGCTGTTTCTGGACCATTAGAATATTTAGATTTCGACGTTCCTCGATTCGCGAGATTAAGCCGTAGTTTTATCAGATCCAAACAACGATCTTGAAAAAATGATAATTTATGTTCATTTTGAAGGTATTTTGATGATATTTCATAATATCCAAGTACAAAGTCAAAACTTGCAGTCAAAGCATTTACTGAGGAGGAAAAAAATGAAACCCAACACCTGGCACTTAATATTCTAAAACAGCTTCAATGTCGTGCTGGCGAAATGTTGATAAGCTGAATATTAGATCTAAAAAAAGACAAACATGCTTACAAATTTTATCGAAACTCATTATTAAATGTTGTTCAACTTTGATTCATACAAAGAGCGTTCATATTAATAGGCGTTTTCACGAAGATTATTAATTGTGTATAAACCCAAAATAAAAGTCAAGGAAGATGAGGAATGTGTTTATTTTAAGGAGAACCTCCGACAAGCACTGTTGCTAATGGTGTTTAGCTTCATTTCTAGACCATGCAGTTCTAAAGTTGAATTTCGTTTTACACATGATCATTTACTTTAAAATACTTATAAAGTCATGTTATCAGTAACAGACTGCTTTCCCAATGAAAAAAACAACTACTGTTTATCTGAGCAGCAACCACTTCATTATATCTTAAGATGTCCTATAATCAACCACTCGGTGTTTTTTCAAAACTCAAGAAAGTCGTACTGTGAACTGCAGGCATCATATTCAGTATTCTAACTAGATTTTCATGGTTAAGTCACACACAATATACTTTCCAAAATTAATTTTACAAAATATGACTGATTTTAATCCAAAATAATTACTCATAACAAACGATGTAAAGGACACTTTAAACAGTACTGCTCATGAAGATTGGTTTTAACCAGTACCTCAGAAGGTTAACCAAGGGTAACTTTTTTTTATCAAGGGATCACAGTGAATGACAAAATGATGAACACGTTGCTATTACTAGAGCTTTCACCCTCTTCTCTATTATATTTGATAGTGCTAAAAGAACACTGTGAAGCAAATAGATTTATGGTGATCCACTAGTTACATGCAGCATGATATAAAGTATTTTTTCATAGGAGTTTACTGTGAAATAGATATATATTTAAGGCAACTACAGAGATAATACTCGATATTTGCCGATATTATGAGTAGAAGGGGCATTCACTCTTTAATAGAATACGAAATATCTGCTAGATAAATGCCCATATTATTTGGGAATCCACTTATAAAATGTTCCCATACCTAATAAATACTCCAGATACTAACATGTGTCCTATGAATAAGGGAAAATACAACGTGAGATATGTGATAATTACGCGATTTTTTAATAGCGTATCTTCATACAAAGATGTTGAGTGCATAATTTTTGGCACTACCGATGGCATAGTAGTTATTCTAAGTTGAAAACATCAAAGAAGTAAGTATAAGTCGGCACTTTATTATCATTTAGAGGGTAACAAATGTGATTTATTCACATTTTAAAAGCGAAAAGTACAGAAGATATTCATGTGCGAAACAAAAGCCTAGAAAATTAAGTTTGAACTTGAATCAAGTGTACTAAGTAATATTACTAAACTAAGTCATATCAGCTTGTTAGATAGTTTCACTGAATTCTTATGGTTCTCATCAGCATAAAGTAAAACGTCATGAAACCGTGTGAATATAATATGTATTTTCTATGAAATTTAGGCTTATTTACAAGTCTCGCCTTTTTTATCATCATCTTACTACCAGCCCATAGATAAAGCGGATAGCTTATCACCACGAACTGTTTGTCATTTCGACGACTTACTTTCACTGAAGATCTTAGTGGTTTCGCTCACAACAACATTACTAATGGAAAAATTCAAATTGGTGATTGTACTTTAGAAAGGGCAGACTAGAATACTATCACGTTTTGTAGTAGTTTATTAGGCATATTTAGGCTGGTAAGTTACTTTATCGGTTAAATGCAAAAGATGACTATAAGTAATAATTTCAGTTATACATTATTAAGTTAGTATGACTGTAGTCTACTAAAAGCTGATTTGTTGTTTCATTGGTTAAGTAACAGGAACACAGAACAACTACTGACAAATGCCAAATTTTCCGTTAACCAATCTATTTGAAGTTGAAGTTTTAACAATATAGTTTTATTCAACAAAGTCACTATAGGTTCAACTACAACAATACAGTTAAAGTGTTCCGAGTACTCATAATCAATGCTTGGTTTGCATTCATAACAAACTCTGTATTTTACTGTTGGTTAAATGCAAATAACCACTTGAAAGTTATGAACTTATTATGAAGTTAATTTAGCAAAACCAATTTCTCTTATCTGACATACTACAAATTTTTTAGCAACTGTTTCTAAACGTGTAAATTCTAAAAATATAAAACAGTTAAAACGTTTGTTAGATGCTGTTTTCACTAGTTCTAAAGTATATGTATTACCCAGTGAACACAAGATTTTCCGTGTCATAGATAACTCATAATATAAACAATGAAAATGTCATTTCACGTAATTCAGAATATCATTGTTTAACAATTCCTTGATTAGGGTGCTTAAAAATATAAACTGGAGTAGGGGTGATTTAAAACAAATCTCTGAGTTCTGGAAAAAGTGATTATTACTTTCGCTAACATACATGCCTAATTCACTGAACAATGCTTGTATTATTTATCCGTGGTGAACGGGTTTTTTCGAAACGACGACATATAGTTCACTCACTTCCAACAAATACCTTTCATAATGACTGAGAGAATAAATAACCTAGAGACTTTTATCTGGATTATGCCCAAAATTTAAACTTATCATAAAATATGCTGCTATGAAGTCTCAAAATCTGTTATAATGAGACACCAAAGGCGAAACCCCATTTAACATTTTTTTGAAAGCAAGGGATGATAGTTAAAGATGAACATTCTACTGCATATTTAGAAGGCAGTAAAAAGAAAGAATAACATGACCATGAGTGTTCATCAATTGCGGAGTAAATTACCTGATAGAACAGAAGCTACTGCTGCGATTAAGAACGATATAATAACACCAGGACCAGCTGTGAACTTAGCAACGTCGCCAACAAGAATATACACTCCAGCACCTAAAGTTGTGCCAACTCCTATGATATAAGCATGTTACAAAGACTAGACATAATACCTAGAGCAGTAAGATCAAATATAGTTAGACATCTTCGCAACTCTTCCTTTGACAACTCGCTTTTGCAGATCACCTTTTTCCTGTTGAGGCTTATGAAAAAGTCTTTCGTTGTTCGGGTACATGAACTCATTACAACCAATTAAAATTCCGCCGTATCCGTAATATAAATTAACGATGTGGAAGAACTATTTCAACACCTATTCAAGTTAAGAACATTCAGCGAAATAACAACCTTTTACTACCAAGTGAAAAGTTCAATTGATGTCTTCTTTGATTAAAAAGGTACAAATTGACGAATGAGACCTCAAAATAGAAAGGAGTAAAAAATGAAATTGTCTGACTCGAAAAGAAAAACTAGACATTTAAAGGCGAAATGACGAGTATTCGATTTAATTTTACCTCTGTGTTTCTGTAAGTTCATCAGTTTCGTCCATCAAACCAGAGACTTTCAGGCGATTAAATTGTCCTGATGGTAAGTACGAACACTGGTTTCTAGACACAAAGGCTTGATATATATATATATATATATATATAATCATTTACCCCTGTTTTCCCTCGCAGATGAGCAGAGGCCGCCTACTAGCATTCTCCGTCCAACTTTGTCCACGACAACCCTTTTCAGTTCTTCTCAGTTGCTATTCATCCTTTGCGTGTCTGCTTCCCATTCCCGACACAGTGTGTTCTTTGGCCTTCCTATTTTTCGTTCCCCATCAGGATTCCAGGTAAGCGCTCGCCTCGTGACGCAGTTTTGTGATTTATGTAATGTATGTTCTATCCACTTCCAACGTCTTTTCCTAATTTCCTCTTCAGATGGAAGTTGGTTTGCTCCTTCCCATAGTAGGCTGTTACTGATGGTATCCGGCCAAAAGACATTCAGTATATTGAGTAGACAATTGTTTATAAATTCTTGTCATTTTTTTGATGATAGTTATAATACTTCTACACGTTTCAGCTTCCTACAATAGGACTGTCGTGACGTTTGTATTCAAGGTCTTGGCTTAGATATTGGTTGACAGTTGGTTTGAGTTCATATGTTCTTCAAGTGTAAGAATGAGGCACTTGCTTTGCCAATCCTCGTCTTTACGTCTGCGTCAGATTCTCCACGTTCATCGATGATGCTACCCAGATAACTGAAACTTTACACCTCTTCAAGGGTTTCGCCATCAAGTGTGAATGTGTGGGTGTTCTCTGTGTTGAGTTTGTGGATCTTGCTTTTTCCTTTACGTATCTGAGCTGCTGCAGTGGCTGCTGCTACACTAATTGTTTTCACCTGCATTTGTTCGTGTATATGGGGTAGAACGGCCAGGTCATCCTCAAAGTCCAAATCATCTGGTTGCATACAGGCTGTCCGTTGTATTCCGTGCTTTCCCTCAGAGGTCGAGGTCTTCATTATCCAGTCATCGACCAGAAGAAAGAGAAAAGGAGAAAGTAAGCAACCTTGTCTAATTCCGGTCTTTACTTGGAATGCGTCTGTCAGCTATCTTTCACGAACCCCTTTGTAGTGTGGTCCGTCGTATGAGTCCCGTATGATGTTGACAATCTTCTAAGGTAAACCATAGTGTCGAAAAAGTTTGCATAATGTTCTCCTATCCATTTTGTTAAACGCTTTCTCACAATCAAGAAAGTTTATTTATGGTGGTAAGTTTCGTTCAATTGATTGTTCAACGATGATCCGTAGTTTATTAATTTGCTCTGTGCATGAACGATCCTTACGGAATCCGGTTTCTTAACTTCGCAACTGGATGTCTGCTGAATCTTTCATCCAGTTCAGCAATACTCTAATGAAAAACTTTCCTGGTACTGACAACAGTATGAAGTCTTTGTAGTTCCCATACTTAGTTGGATATACTTTCTCAGGTATATTGATGCGGTGTCCTTCTTTCTAGTCAGTCTGTATTTCCTCCTCCCAAATCTTCTCCAATAGCAGGTGACGCATATTTGCAGTTTCTTCCATGTCTGACTTCAGTGCTTCATCTGATATATTGTCCGATCCTGCTGCCTTCCCATTCTTGATTTGTCTGATGGCCATCTTGATTTCTTCGATCGATGTTCAGGTGACATCAATAGGAAGGTCTGTAGGTGCTGCGACGATGTCCGGTAGGTTTAGTGTAGCTGTCCTATTCAAAAGATCCTCAAAATGTTCTGAAAATCTGTTCTATTCTCAGATTCTGGTGATTGTCTCACCTTCTTGTTCCTTGACCAGTCTCACTGATTTACTATATTTTCCTGCTGGTTTCTTCGTTGTATAATGTAGTTGTCTCATAATTCCTTCTCTTGAAGCCTTTCCCACTCTCTTTGCTTGCTCTTCCATACATTTGTGCCTGTCAGCTCTAATTCGCCTCTTCACTCGCTTGTTTGCTTCTGTGTATTCAGCTTGTCCCATAACTTTCTCCGTTTCAGTTTGGCTGTTGTTAACTGCTCTTTTCTTGTTCACACATTCTCAGATCTTGTCGCGGGTCTCGATAGAGATCTATTTCTTATGATGATGCTTCTTGCTGCCCAGAACCTCCTGACAAGTTGAAGTTAATGCTTATTCGATTCCTCTCCATTTGTCCTTCATAGTAGCTTTTTCTTTCAGTAAATTCTGTAGAGCTTGGAACCTGTTGTTCAGAATAGTTTTGAATTCTTTGAGTTTGCATGTGCCTCGTTGGAAGGTTGTATTGGTGTTTCCCCATCTGTCCAGTGCTACTTCCGTTTCATCTTGGCCACAACCAGGTGGTGATATTTTGCTTCATCATATCCTCTCCTAGTTTTCACGTCCTCCACTGTTCTTTGATATTTTTTATTCATACAAATATGATCCAACTGGTTCTCCGTGATTTCATCCGGTATGTTTGTGTGGGGATATTGTGCCGCCTATAACTAACTTGCTGAATGCGCATAGGTTTGTAAATCTTTCCCCATTTTCGTTTCTTTCTCTCAGACAGTCCATGTCATCTCATGATATCTTCATATTCGCGGAGATAGAACGAGACGAGCACAAATGAACGTATTGTATTTGGAGTTCGATATCAGCAGGTAAACAGGCAAAAAAAGATCATTAGTTCGCACAAACATCACATCTTCCCCGTCTGAGTGCTCGATCGCTACATATATGTATCTTGAACACAATTGAATCGATGGTTTAATGGCTGTTTCAACTGTCATGCCTACTAGTCTAGAGTGTACGCTGACGGTTGGATATGCGTCGTATCTGTTGTTTGCTGATTTTTATAGCTTAAAGTTTCGTTCAACCCGTGATTTTATTTCGGTTTATCAGGTTTTTGACACATCTAGATATTTTATAGAGTTGAGATCATGAGTCAATTGAAGCTTGACCACCATGGAAAACCTGGAAGCACATCTAGATATGCTTATTTATATTACGTCTATATTGTTTATGGTATTTTTTTCGGAAAGAATAAATTCTTCTGATTTTTTCCGTTGAACCACCACTCGAAGTAGAATGATAAAGTAAGTAGCTGGTTTGACTTCTGAAGTTCCCTTTATCCAAAGGCTTAGTTTATCTTGTAAAACACTGCGTTGCACTTTCGATTTTTAGCTATAATTTTGCTTTCGTGGCTATTGTTTCTCCCATCACTAAACCTCACTACCATTTGGTATACTGCTCTGCGCACCAGTTTCGTCCTTGATCTTATGCTACATTTGAGAACGGCTTTAGTTGTGAACATGCCATTTATTAACTACTAGTCGTGTGCTTTGACTTTTTTAGGAGCTGTCAAACGGGAACGTATGAGGTGTGGTGATTGTCACCGTTTGGGGGGGTAATCAGCATGCTCTTAGAAACTAAAGTAAAGTAGAAAAACCAGTGGATCATGAAGAAATTCTACGTGTCCTGAAACTTCCATAAGATGCAAGAATGACTGAGCGAACCTTATTTTCTCAACCAAACCTAGGATATTGATTGATCATAATTTTTTAATTGCTTGGCAACTAAGCTTATCTTCTTCCTTGTATTTTGGAATGGCACTATGATGATCAGAAGTATTTGAATTGTAGTATAAACTAGTAATCCCAGGAATAACGCAATTTAATCAAGCAGCATTAGATGAGCCCGAACGAATGTATTGTATTTGGAATTCAAAATTACAACAGTCATCAATACAAACAAGTCATTGATTTATTTAAACATCACATCCGCCACAGCTCGAATTGGAGTGTAAGTGTCTGTAATCGATTGTTCGTCTTCTTCTTAAGTTCATCTTACATATGTCCGACGGTGTATTGGATGTAGACTCTGTATTATCTGGGTTCTGGAATTGTATACAATCAGCATGTCGGTTGTGTAGTGAAACCATTGATATTTAGAATTTGCATCATAGACTTTACAACAATATCCTCCCCCGCGAAATAATGTTGGGTCCTTACGTCGCAATGTTTTAGTCAATATGACGTTCCGAATTTTGCGTTACCTTCTCAAATCTCACTCATCGACTACTGTATGTGAGTATTTGGGAATAAACACTGATATATAATTTGAGGTATTCCATCATGTGATTTTGACTGGAATAAAAATCATGATACATATTCTTTTTGTTATTCATATTAGAATACACAGATGGATATGCATTGATATATGTAATTAACACATGTGATTCAATTAGGCTTGATTTACCTATTGCAGGGAGACCAAACATTAACTCTTTAGAGGAAGAAGAGCAAGCCCTATGTACACTAAGCTTACAGGATGACTCATAAGACTACTTTGTAAACTGCCTCTTCCCGCTGTACTTTCGCGCATCGCGCTTTTTGATTTTGAAATATAGAGGCTCGTGATTCCCACCGTGTTCTGTCTTGGTGTGAAGTCCTCGTTGAACATTGTGTGCTGTGCTGTTTTCAGATCTTTCCTGCTGTGCTCTAACTGCTGATTCCACGTGTTACACCTGCCTACCATGCGTGGTTCATTGTTTTGTTCTTACTTTCCTCCTTGAGTCATAATATTATACATCGTGATTACTGAAGAAACACATGCAGAGACACTCACAAGTACTTGATATTTCCTCTTTTTTATGGTTTGTAAAGTATGTAGTGAGAGCACTTGATATACTAATAAGTTAACACAACATTGAGATCATGTTTCAATCGCTGGAGACTGTGAATGCTAGTAGTCATCGGGGAAGCAATCGATTCTCAATCAGCACTCTAAGCTTCATTTTTTGGCAGGCTTGTTTTCAGGTCTGGAAAGTACTACCAAGCAACCTATAATTCTGAAGGCTGTAGACCTCAGCCTCGGTTAACGGATTTGTTGTCAGGTTC